GGCATTATTTTTTTGCATTCACTACATTTTTAAATTTAAATAAGGGGGGCGCGAAAAAAAATTGGGTGATTGAAAAGGGGGGCGCCAGCATTGAAAGTTTGAGAAACACTGGGTTAGACTGTATTTCAGGTAGATTTCATAGAATATTTACTTATTCATTTGATTTAAATTTTAATTTGGTATATACATCCCGCCCCTGCATGTGATTAAATTTATTTTTATACTAACAACTGAGTGTGTGTTGTTACGGTTGTTATAAGCCATAGAAGCGAGTTTATGTTAGTATTGGCAAAAAATATTTTACATAAAAGTTAATTCTGAAATTATGCTATATTTTAACATCAAACCAAAACGTCTTTAAAAATCTTAAATAAGGTAAGACAAAATTCACTATCGTAATGTGCATTGCAAGTAAGCTCTGCTTTAAAACAAATATTAGGGATAAATACAAAGAAACAGTATCAGAAAAAGTGACTTCATTTTCAAAGATTCGTACTTTACTTTGAAGAAAATTGCGAGCAATTATCTTTTCTCTCATCTTTCTGAAGAGATGAGTTGTTTTATTTCCTTGTACTGGAGAATATTTATTGTCTCATTTAACATAAAATTAGTGACAAAAATATGATTACATTGAGTTTTTATGTCAGAAGTAAGGAACCGTGGGTTTCTTGTGAGGCCTTCATAAAACCTAGCACTTGTATTAATTAATATTTAATTAAATAGATTACAGCTATTTCTAGTAAGTATACTCTTTCATAGAGAAATTGTTTAGTATTCGATTTTTCCCTAGCATGTCAAATTGTAACAAAAAAATATATATGATGAAAACAAAACATTTTAATATAGAGTGGTTGTTAGATTTTTTCTTTATTTCTGGGAAAAATAAAATTGTGTATTTGCTGTGTCATGCAGTTTTAGCTACTTTGGAAAAAGCGAATGCAAATAAACACTATTCGACTAATATAAATGAATTAAATATTTCAATTTAAAGAGTGAATCTGTTAAAGTTGCTCTTCAAAAATTGAAAAAAGGAAAAGCATCATCAACAATCGTCTTATAGTGCTTTTGTAACGAAAAGTAGCCCTGCAGTTGATGCTACTTACAAAATAGAATATATACTTGTAAAAAGAGGCAGACAATTTAGTGCCGTAGAAATAATTAACGAATGTATTGCTGTCAGTAGGTATGCTAAATCCAGAAAAAGTTCCCTAATACAAACAAGTGCCTCTTTCAAGAACTATAACAGATCGATAGCACGAATTAGTTGAAAATATAACAGAGAAGCTTCATACATAAAGATTTTTCAAATGCTTTAGATGAAAGCACTGTGTTTAAACTGACTTGGCGCCAAATTTTAAACTTTATTCGTGCTGTAACTAACGATTTTCAATGTTATGAACAACTTCTTGAGGTGGGTACACTAACTGGAAGAAATCATAAAGTTGACATTTTCAAAAACTTCAGAGAAATATGTCATAGATTGCAATAAAATGTCAGTAATTTAGTCAGTGTCTGCACCGATGAAACACCTTCCTTGAGGGGTAAAAATAAAAGATCAGTTGCTTTATTAAAAAAGAATACTTAAACTTGGAATAACTCATATCATTTCACTCCATTTTGAATCAACAAAATCATTGCACAAAATCCACTATCATGTAAAACACTCAGGATAGAGATTTTGCGATTCTCAACTATATTCACGTAAGTGAAATGCGTCATCGTGAATATCGGCATATGCTTACTTTAGACGAGGAAATGCACAGTGTTGATCTGCCTTACTAATGCGATGCTCGTTGGCTATAACAGAAAAGGTTTTGATATAATTTTTAACTCTGCGACGACGAATTTTACATTTTTATCAAGAACAAGGGAAACTATGTAATCTATCAGATGAAGTGCAGAAACAATGCATTTTTTGTCAAAACGATTTAAATATCTGCCTGCAAGGTAAAATTAAACATACACAAGTAATATAAAAAAAATTTAAGTCATTTCCTACTTAGATCAACAAAGAAAATTTTTATTTTAGCTACCTTTTATTAAAAAGTTGTAAGGCACCCTCTTGGGGGTGTCCTACTTCTACATTATCCTCGCGACCTAGATCTGTTGGAAGGAACGAAGAAGCAGCCATCTCGTTTATCTTAATATCACTCTTTATTAAAATCTTAACTTAAACAATATACAATAATAGTACTAATATTCAATTCAAGTGAATCTGAAGTGAAAGGACGCACTATTCGTATTACCAAATATTCGCGGAACCAACTCTTATATCTAACTCTACCGACTATTTCTAACTTTAGTAACTACACAGTTCTTAATAACTTGATTAAACAGTCTACCGCTATATCTTGGGTAAAGAGCAATTCTTTTGATTCTAACTGACGTGCCTTTTGTCCTTGTGGAATGTATTCTCTCTTTAACTTAATCGCACAGGTGTACGAATAGCCTAAATCTTGAACTCGGGATTTCCTCTAACTTTAACTTAAGCTCTGGCAAAACATAGACCTGGTATATTCACTTCTCATAGCCACACCGGACTCTAAACTTCTACTATTTATAAGATTCCTATTTGAAATTATATATATATATATATATATAAAAAAAAAAAAAATATATATATATATATTTCACGTTTCACCCCCGAGTTGATTAAAAATTCCATTCGGGCATCAAAGAACCCCCAAGGGTAATTAGTTGAAATCGCGATGAGCCCGTCACAAAGTTACAATAATTAAATATGATAACAGTGACATAATCAAATATTGATTTTTCCAAACGTTGAACCATTTTTAAAAGCGCATAAATGGATATTGTCATGATATTGTCCTTTTTTGAAAATGAAAAATTTTTTAGAATTATGAAAAAATATTTAAATACAATATTGTAAAAAATTTTTAATTTCCTTTTTTTTTTTTTTGCAAAATTTGTATAGTATTATTATTTTCCTGTATATAAGTTCGTACGGGAGGCTCAACTTTTATTTTTAAAAAAATTCACATTATTTTCAGAGTTACAACAATGAAATAATGATCGGCGTATTTTCTTAAAATTTTCATCCTTTGGTTTTCGTAAAAAAAAAACCCCCAAAAATTTTTTTTTTATTTCCGGGGGGGAGGTGGGAAAGGAAAAAAAAAAAAAAATTTTTTTTAAAAAAAAAAAAATTTGGAAAAAGGTTATTTGATAATTTTTGCCAAAATATTTATTTTTAAAAAATTTTTTTAATTTCCTTTAAAAAATTTTTTAAAATAATTCTAATCTGTGACATAAAATTTTAAAAAAATTTTATTTTAAGTTTTGAAAATCACACCCAAAGGTTTTAGAATTTAAGGGGGAAAAATTTTAAATTAAAAAAAATTCGTTTGCAAACCCAAAAAATGAAAAATTTAGTTAACGAAACAAAACTAAAAAAAATTTTTCGTTTTTTTAAAAGTCCCAAAAATGGAAAAATATTTTTAAAACTTCCCCAGTCATAAAACCCCAAAATTTAATAAAAGGTACCCCCAAACGTTTATTAAGCCTTAAGACTTCCATACGACAAAATTTCTTTTTAAAAAAATTTAAATTTTTAAAAGAAATAAATCTATTTTAAAATAAATTTAAATTAAAATTTAAAATTATTTTGAAATTTATTAAATCTATGAATTTATTAAATCTATGAAATTATTAAATCTATGAAATTATTAAATTTATAAATTTATTAAATCTATATAGATTTATTAAATCTTTGAAATTATTATATATATATTAATTGATGAAATCTATGAAACGGTATGTTTGAATTTATTAAATTTATCAAAAAAATTATAGTTGATGATTAATGATTAATGTTATAACATGTTTTTCTTATGTGAATACGAAAATATTCTTATTGAAACATTTTGAGTCAGTAAATAAGGATTTAATTTTTTATAAAATTTAAATTTAATACATCTTATTGATAAAACGGTACAATAACTATAATTTCATAAAAGTAACAATTGATAAATATATATGAACCAATATATATATATATATATATATATATATATATATATATATATATATATATATATATATATATATATATATATATATATATATATATATATATATATATATATATATATAAGGAAAGTATATATGTTGAAGTTGTTGTTATATATATATAAGGTTACATATATATATATATACATATTAGCATGCAAGGATAATTAAAATTATGATTAAAATTAATTCCCTATATAGCATTTCACTTTTATTTTTCTCCTCACCTCTTCGAGTATCAAACTAAACGGCCATTTATTTCTTCCGAAAATATGGCTTGGCCAAGAAACATGTCTAATTACAGATCGTTATTATTAATAGCCCTGTATGTCAGCATTAACTTTCAAGAGCACTCATGAACGCTGCAATCGGTGTTTTAAGTGTTTAACCCACTTAAGATTTTCGGTGGCGTTCTTTTTCTCTCTGCTTCTTGCATCTGAATGTGTCTAACTTTCCTCAAATAAAGAACCTTTTAAAAACTATGTCTGTTTCCCTTGACTCAGCACGTAAGTCATATATATATATATATATATATATATATATATATATATATATATGAGTATATAGTTAGTTGTTGTATATATATATATATATATATATATATATATATATATATATATATATAAATGCAACAGCGCGAAAATTACTTCTTAATTAACATGTGGCCTCTGATGGTGAAAAAAGGCTCCTCGCCTCTGCTTTATGTTGTCAACCGATGTTTAAAAAAGAGCATGAATCTTTACAATTAACTGTAGTTTGGGGGAAAATTTTAGTGAGTTAAATTTAATTTACACGTTTAAGAGGTGAAAAATTAAACCACAATATCATTTATAACTAAAAAAATGTCATAGATTCATTTCGAGCTTCGCAATTTAATAAAAACATTAAGATGCAAGATTAAATAATTGCTAAAATGTATTTTTAAAAATAAAGTACATTTGTTCATATACACAAAGAGATAGCATACGAAAGCGTGCATAATGGCGAAGTGGTTATGGCATCAGACTCTTGTCGGGAGGCGTGTTCTTCCTGCGAAGTATTGTTACAAGCCTTCTGCTCCGTGCTTTGATCACGAAACCCAAATCGACGGTGAGACTATAAGAAAAATGCATTTAGTTTCAATATTCAGTCCCTTAACTTGGACACACTTCATTCAGTTAAGGGATTGCTGTGTTGATTCCGGGAGTGTATGCACGGAGTCTCCACAGCGACTGTGTGCACGCACTCTCACATTCCTTTCCAGAAAGATGAGTAACAGCAACGGAACGCGCCTCCTTGGTGTTATCTGATTCACGTATGTGAGTGCGGGTTCGAATCCCGCTTCTGCAAAGTTTAAATTTTAAATATATATAACATAATCAGGTTTCAATAATTTCTTTTATGATTATTTCGATTTATGTGTGTGTGTGTGCATTCTTTAATGAACTTATATTTGAATTTTACTTTTTATTTTTTGGGGGCCTGTCTCATCACTATATGATCCTTGAAAGAAATTTAATTGAATTTTATTTCAATTACAAAACCATAAAATATAACTTTGGAGTGTTTTTAAAATATCAATTATTCTTAGTCATTCTGTCAAAAAGGAAAGTAAAAGATATCTGAAGGAAAGTGTGAGTATATTAAAAAATTAACAACTGTTTAAGATACTATTGCACATACTTTTGCACCATAATGAAAAAGAGTACACGAGAATACGAAAACACATATTAAAATCTACTTTCTCGAAGCAAATATTTACGGATATTTAGAGATAAAAGTTTTTCAATTTATGAATAATACTAAAATTACAGTTTCCTCTGTCAAAAAAATAGTATTTGTAATAACATTCATGCAGTACAAAGCTCACACAAAAATAAACTTAGTCGAAGTTAAAACAGTTATTTCCCGCAAGAGAAGGATTCGAACCTGCGTTCACAATTATGAATAAGTTGAATTCTGTAGCATCTTAATAAAGAAGCTACAGTGCAACGATTTTACACTCCAAAATTTCCATATGCCAATGTGGACTTTAAAACTCAAGTCTTAAGGCATACCCACACCCAATGGTGTTGCTAGTCCTGAGTGGGTCCTGCATCAAAATTCTTTGGGAATTCCAATTCGGCACATTTTGACAGTTTATGATTACATTCTTACACATAATATCCTCTTGTAGCTTGGGGCCCCGTATTATTGATACAGCTAATACAGTGGTATCAAAGCCTCTGTCCACACCTCTATCCCTCGAGTCAAATATTGTTAGATATTTGCTGACTTCGGATTTAGAACCCGTAACAAAAATTGCTCAAGAAGAGTTTGAGCGCATAATCACTGAGACACCTCCTCTGAACTATTCTTCCTGTGAAGGTTATATTAAATTTGTAAATCTTTTTTAAGTAGGTAAAATGTTATACGGACTGCACATTTACTCTGGTTTTTCGAAATCGGCTTATTTTCTAAGGAGAGAATAACGGATATGAAAGCATGGGAAAAAACTGAATACATATTTTCAGCATATTTTTTTGATAAGGGAGACATTAATCACATTTTATTTACAGACAATAATAATTTGATTCAAAGGAAAAAAGTACAAAATTCAAAATAAGTTAATTAGTTATATCAAGATAATCATGTTGTGCAAAGAACTCGAAAAAAAAAAACATTTTAAGAAATATATCTTCAATTTAAAAAAAAATGGCATTTAAAACATAATTTTAAAACAAACTGCTTGTAATAGTTACCTTATTTTATTTACAAAATACTTGCGTCTATGCTTAAAATTATATTTAATAAATGCGATTACAATTATCAAGTTCTTATAGCTTTGGAAAGAAGCAAACCACTGCAAACGAGTGCTAATAGACGTAAGCAAGTCTTGGCGTTATTCATGACAAGGCCTGTTTCATGGTTCCACTAAAAAGTAACCATTGGGAATGCTTAAATTTTCACGTGAACGTAGTATCCAAGTTAGGAGAGGGGGGTGCAACCTCAGACTTCACCTGCTATGACTTGACAGAAATACAAAACTATCAAATCTTTCTCCAATAATTGCTACAAAGATCGATATTAATAAGCATTAATACTCGGAAGGAAATAGCTATGTTTACAGGATATACATCAAGCTATTGTCAAGTTCCAGCTGGGGAGTATGTGCAAAAATTCCAAAAATGCAATCTACTTTGTGAGTATGTATTATGCTTGAAAAAATTAAATAAAATTATATCAATTCCGGAACTATAATTCATGATAAATGCTAATTATCATAAATTTATGAAAAATCGCAAACATAGCAATAACTCGCTCCAAAAAAAAATCTTCTGAATGAAATTTGAATATGTTGCTAAGTAAAAAGAGCTCTGAACAATAATACGTTATGCAAACTAGTGGAAATTCAGTCGGAAAGCGTAATTTGCGAGGAGCTTGGAAATGGATGTATCAGAGTAAGGCAGCAATTGTCGCTACGTGTCTGAGTATAGAAATCTGGTACAGCGAAATTGTAAAAATGACCGCCAGACATCATTTGACCAAAGAATGTGATGGTGAGCTAATAGAGGGCGGGACAAAATCAGACAGACGACTAGCCATTTCCGTTTCGCTCACATCATGGCATAGACAGGAACAGAAAATTTGCAGTGGACACTTCAATATGTCCTATGGACATGTGAACAGTGGAGTACTGTTCGCATTATGGATAAATCCAGGTTTAGCCTCGAAAGCGATAGTAAAAATTTTTTCATTTAGAGTGAACCTGGAACTCGTTTTCATCCATGACACATCCTTGAAAAAGATGAATACGTATCAGCCAGTGTCTATGTTTGGGGTGGTATCTCTTTGGGTGGACTTACAAACCTCCATGTCATTCCCCGTGAAAATGTTAATGCCAGTACCTATAGGAATGACATCCTGGATGCTTTTATGCACCCTTTTGCCGGTTCAATATGTGATGCTATCAGGCTACAGTATGAAATGCCAAGCAACACAGGATTCGTAACGTGGATACTTATCTTGAACAGGAAACAATTCAGTGCATGCAGTGTCCAGCTCGATCACCAGACCTTAACCTTATCGAGCCTGTTTGGGATGCTCTAGGATGACGTCTAACTTCTCTCAATTCCCCTCCTAGTACCCCAGCCATGGTTTCAACTTAATTAGAACAGCAATGGCTGCACTCCCTGCAGAATTAGGAAACCGCATAATTGAGAGTATCACACATCGTTTCATGTGGTGTATTCTTTTATGGGGGGATCATTCGCCATATTAAAGGTACTTTTCCTATACCCAACTGACGCATCCGCTTTGTTCAGTGTGTACATATGCTGACTTTTACAGCACCCTATTTCTCTTTATGCTATTTTATATCTTTCTATGTGTTATATAATGTGTATAAGTGCCCTTATATTCTAAGCATAACTTTTTGAGTTATTGTCATTTTTGAGATTTCTCCTTAATTTATTATAACCATTGTATAAATTTATACCTGTTCATAAGCATCTCTCTATCAGTTTTATATTACAGTAAAATTATTACAAGATAAAGAAAAATTTAAATAGTTCCATCAAACATATTTAAAAAAATACATGAATTTTAGCTTCGTAATTTTATATTAAAAAAAAAAAACATTAATAAGCAAGATTAAATAATAGTTAAAATATTTTTAAAAAATGAAGTGCGTTAGTTCATACACACAAAGGGATAGCTTACGGAAGCGTGCAGGATGGCCGAGTGGTTATGGCATTAGACTCTAGTCGGGAGGCGTGTTCTTCCGCGAAGTTTTGTTACAAGCCTTCTGCTCCGTTCTTTGATCACGAAACCTAAATCGCGACGGTGAACCTGTAAGAAGAATGCATTTAGTTTCAACATTCAGTCCCTAACTGACACACACAATACACCAGGGTTTTATGGGATTGCTGTGTTGACTCCGGGAGTGTATGCATTGAGTCTTCACAGCGACTGTGTGCACGCACTATGACATTCGTTTCCGGAAAGATGAGAAACAGCAAGAGAACGCGCATCCTTGGTGTTATCTGATTCGTATTTGGTGATATTCGATTCCCTCTTCTGCACAGTTTCAATTTTATATATATTTAACATAACCACATGCTTAAAAAATTTCTTTTATGAGTATTTCGCAGAATGTGTGTGTGTGTGTTTATTCTATAAAGAACTTTTTTTGAATTTGAATTTTTTTGTTTGAGTTCTTTCACATTACTAAATGATTCTTAAAAGAAATTTAATTTAATATAATTTATATTACGAAACCACATAAAATATAACGTTTGAATATATTCAAAATATGAATTATTCTTTTTAGTTACTTTGAAAAAGAAAAGAGAAAGAAAGCTGAATATCTTCGGAGGAGAAAAAAGTACACAGTCAGAAATTTGAAAAAAATAAAAGTCAACTCATTCCCTTAAGCGAAAGAGAACTGAGGTTAGAGTGGCTTGAAAATGTTAATATTTAAGGAAATAAAATTATGCATAAACTAATAAAAGTAAGATGTCAAAATGTAATTTACCTTATAATAATTATTTTTATAATGAGAATAAATTTGGTTATGTTTCATGAACGCCGTAATCGGAATGTAATGGGAGTTTTAATATTTTAATTACTAAAATCTTGTTTTCTTGAAAGAAACTGCACACAGAGAAATCGTAGAAATGAACTGAGAAGCGTTTTATCATCAATTAAAATGTTCAATTATCAATTATCAATAATCAAAAATCAATTATCTGTTCTACCATCAAACAATTGTTTCCAAAAACAATGCCACAAAATATTTTTCATTTAAGCCTTGCCAATATCAACCATGGAATATTTAAACATATTTGTTTTTAATAAACTATTTTTCTAAAATTATTATTTTAATCAATTTCAATTCATTGGGCTTTATCAATTTTCTTAGAAAATAATATTACACCCCATAACAAGGTATAAAATAAACTCCACAACAACTGAAAAGTTTTAAGGAAGTATTTAAATTGCGAATACAAATAAAATAAGAGTGGATATATGAAAACAAATTATTTAAGTAATGTTTACTTAAATGAAATTTTAGTATCGAAATATACGCATTGACAAGAGGTAAATGACTAATTGAGAAGAATGGCAGAGTGGTTATAGCACCTTACCGAATAATGAAGACGCGTTCTTTCGGGATTTATTGTTGCAAGTGTTCTATTCTGTGGTTTGTGCCCACGAAAGCACTTTCTTTCTTCATATAAAAGAAGAGTTCTGCATTTCTCTTCAATAGCTGTGTCATTTTAAACCCAGTGATTGTTAAATTAATTACTTTTATATTGTTTCAAACGAGACACAGTTAATTATATTGTTGATTAACCCGCGGTCACTCG